TACATGACGTCACAGACTAACGCATTGGAGTTAAAATGGCAGCTTTTTACATTTCAAGGTTGCATGAAAATTATCGTTTTACACGAATAAATGCCACAAATCTTGATTATGTGATAAAAAAAGGGATCTTATACTCATTTTCATTTCATATGAAGTTGATGAAACTCGTCACAAATTTATTATTTTAGCTTCCCAGAGGCTCGCTAACTTGAAAAAATCTTACTCGTTTCATATTACAATGTAATCTCATATGAAATGGAAATCTCATGTAAGATCTTATATATATGTTTTCTTCGGCTGATTTATCTACTATACATACAAAATTACAAAAAGGTCATTTGAAGTTGAAATATATATATATTCACTTTCTGTCTAAGTGTTTCCTCTAACAGGTTTTTATTAATTTAAATTGATTCTCACCAACGTGAAAGTGTCTTCATTGATGTATTTTCTACCTTACAATCTTAATGGTCTCTGAAGAGAACCTGAGGGGACAACATGATATTTCTAGCCACTATAATCAACAGGGCTTTATAACACAAACATGTGAATTTCTCAAAGATTCTTTTCATCTTACCAGGTAATAACTATGTTCTGCATGAAATAAGTTAAGGTCTAAATTCTTAACATATGCAATAATGTTTTATCACTGAAAGATTCAGTCACAAATACAAATGGGTATTACCTAAACTTTTGCAGTCAAACATGCAAGAATTTTAAACGAGGGAAATTTTGATTCTGCAAAGCAAGAAACCATCCAATATGCATATTTTGTATTTGAGTAAGAGGTTATCTCCCTTGAAATTTTATTTATTTGCATTTAGAATCAAATTCACTTTTCCTTAACAGTTTTTAAATGGTTGGATGGAGGTTCAGTGGGAAAAACAACTGCTTAACCCTTTCACCACTGTAGACCAGAATGGACTCATCCAGATACATGTTTGGTAGAGTCTACTAAAGTTACCTAGGGGTGAAAGGGTTAAAAGGGATAACAAGCTTAGACCACAAAGAATGTTTCACTGTACATTGAAATTCAAACGTTTTTATTATAAGGTGTATTTAACGTTCTTTATAGTTTCATTCAGTTCGAAATACATTTTAAACAAACTATTTTACCAAATGGCAGAACAGACATTTTTGCAGGAACAAGATCATGTTTTCTATTGTTAAAAGTTCAGTCAGACGGCAAACTAAAATTGGAAACCGTTCTGAAATTTTCGCCAAAATTTGAATTTGACGTCATGTAATGATTGGTCCCCGATTACTTAAGTAATGGAAAGACCTTAACATCTTACGATCGGAATACATTCACATGGATTCGTTCTTGATTTTTTTGGATTATAAAAATATTTTAGGTTGGTAGGGTTATATTTAGGGACTTCAATGGAAATGTTAATATAAGTTATATATTATCATATCTACAAATTCTACCCTAAGCAAGCTATTTGTTATACAGCGAAGGTGGTTTACATGTAGACAAAACGTTGGTGTGAGCAAGTGTCAGAGATGATATGCATCTAAAGTAGGCAGAACGTTGTCAGTAAGGACGATGGTTACAATCTTCTTCCCTGCAGGCTAAATATCTGAAATGTTTATGATACTTTTGCTCGGGAGTAACGGCTAATGCCACAGGTCCAATACACATATAGACTGTATATATAGTTCTGATGTGTATAAAAGTATGTCATAATAGTGCTTTGTCCAACTTTGTTTCCGAATCATGAAACAAACTTCATTAACAATTTCAATGTTTCTTCGAAAATAACAGTAAAATGTCATACAACCTTTTATCACATAATGTACTGTGTTATCCAGTGAATATACCCATGTCATATTTTTTTTAGTATTTAACCCATGTAATATGACCTATCAGCCCTGTGATTGGTTGTAATTTTCAATTGTTTCAATTGTGACATCACGCCTAGGACAAGTACACGACATCACAGACTTACACACTGGAGTCAAAATGGCGGCTTTTTACATTTCAAGGTAGCAAGAAAATTTTCACAAATGAATGCCACAAATCTTGATAATGTGATATAAAGGATTTTACACTCGTTTTCATTTCATATGAAATTTATAAAACTTGTCACAAATTTTTCATTTTAGCTCACCTAATTGAAAAATTATTAGACTTGTTTCATAAATCTCACATGAAATGGAAACTCATGTAAGATCCTATATATATCAATTCTATATAGCATTTGTAAGTCCAGAAAATTTCAACTTTTACTCATCTATCAACTCCAGAAAATTGAACTCCATAATCTCTTAACTCCAGAAAATCATTGCCTTTCATCAACTCCAGAAAGGGACAATCAATTTCTCAATCTTTCATCAACTCCAGAAAGGTACAATCAACTTCATGATCTTTTATTAACCCAAGAAAGTGAAAGAAAACCCCATATATGACCTTTCTGTCAACTCCAGAAAATTACAGTCCACTTCCATTTAACCTTTCATCAAAACCAGTACCTGGTAAGTTTAATCAATTAACTTGACTCTATACTAGGAACCACAGAGGAATTGTAAAATCCGTTTTAACTTTACACTGACTCTAGAAAGAAAAGTTTGTTTTAATTGGGAAACAATTTTATTTATTTTTTATTTTTCAGGGGCCTCTTTATTACCAGCAAATATTGAATTTATGGTGTGAAATTGTCATTCTGTTTTTAAAGTTCAATCCTGTCTTGACATAAATAAATAGTGGAATGACTAACTGATAGCTGTGATCTCTGAATCAGTGGTCTTGTTTTTACTTGCCCAGTTCCACATAGCAATGCTATAGATGATGTAATCTGTATATATATATCTCCAGTGTACATTAGGGCCCTCCCTGTAGTGTTCTCACTTAGTGTTAATCACAACGCCCCCTCCACAGTACTACAGGACCTATCCAGTGTTACACACACCCAGCTATCAATTCTAACCACACCCAAGTGTCATACAGCCTAATCCACCCCTCCTTCCCCAAGGAATATTGATCTCAGATCTAATTGTAATCTTATGTAATGTTGAAAGCAAGTGTTATTACTACTACTCTGTAGCCGGACCCGCCCTCATCCCCTCACCCTTGTACATGTGTTAACTCATTCACCCCTGACGACACATTTGAACTCTTCCAATTCAAAGGTTGGAATAGTTCATTATGAAATTTCAGGGGTGAATGAATTAATCATGATGTAAGTAATGACATACAGCTATAAGACCTGACATAAGCATGATCCCCTGTCAATCAAACTCAGCATACTAATTATCACTGACCTACTTCAGACAAATAGAAACAACCTTTAAGTCACCATTTACCTAACAAGTTTACTTAACCCTTTCAACCCTATGTAACTTTAGTAGACTCTACCATGCATTGATCTGGATGAGTCCATTATGGTCTACAGTGGTGAAAGGGTTAATAACAGTTAATCCTAACCCAACTCCACATATGGTACAGGAACAAACATTGACCTGATTGTAGGAAACGTAAAGAGAATTGAACAGGAAATGCATCCTATTATGAAACAACTACGATTGTTTTTTTTCTTTGTTTATCTACATCTACACTGACCTAATTGAAGCTTAGCTACTAAATGTACGTGGAATTTTTTTAAAATATCTGGAAACGTCATTATTTTCTTAATGGTACAGAGTTATTACATTGACAAGCATCAATAATTGTTACTAGTTATATTTATTTTATTTTTTTTTGGGGGGG